ATCCCCTTCCTTTATTTCTTCTCCTCCCTTCTTCCTCCTTCCCATCCTTTTATTCTCCTTTTCGTTGTCCTTTTGTGCTTCTCTTCGTTATCAATTTATCTTTTCATCTTATCCTCATTTCTTTCCTTTTCCATTTCCTTCCGTTTCTTTCGACTTCACCCTTCTTTCCATTTCTTATTTTTCTCTTTAGTCTCTCCTCCCTTTCTTCCTTTCCTCTTTTCCCTCTATTCTTCTTCTTCTCCTCCTTCCCTCTACTCTCCTTCCGTTCTATTGTCTCCCTCCTCCCTCTTCCTCCATTCTTCTTTTCTTCCTTCTCTAAACCCCTCCTTCTGTCCTTTCCAATTGCCATCTCTCTTCTACTTTGCCTCCCTCCTCTTCCCCCTCTATTCCCATCTCCCCCTTCCCTGCTCACCCTCCGTTTCCCCCCCCCCCCCCTCCTCCTTCTCTCCTTCCTTCCTTCTACCTCCTCTCTCTTCCCCCACTTCCCTCCCCTATTTCCCTCCTCTGTCTTCCCCTTCCACTTCCTCACTCCTCCTTTCCACCTCCCACTTCCCCTCTCCGTTCCCCACTCCATTCCATTCCCTCTCTCTTCCCCTTTTGCCCCCATCCCCCTCTCTCTCACTTCCCTCTCCACCCCTCCTTTCTCTCCGCCCTCTCCTACCCTCCTTCCCTTTCCCCCTTCTCCCCCCCCCCCTATCCATCTACCCAATCCCTCTCTCTCTCGCTCTCTCTCTCTTCCTGTCCTCTCATTCCCCTCTCCTTCCCCCTCTCTCTCTCTCTCTCTCGTTCCCCTCCCCTTCTCCCCCTCTCTCTCTCTCTCGTCCCCCTCCCCTTCTCCCCCTCTCTCTCTCTCGTTCCCCTCCCCTTCTCCCCCCCTCTCTCTCTCTCTCTCTCGCTCCCCTCCCCTTCTCCCCTCCCTCTCTCTCTCTCGCTCCCCTCCCCTTCTCCCCCTCTCTCTCTCTCGTTCCCCTCCCCTTCCCCTCCCCCCTTTCTCTCTCGTTCCCCTCCCCTTCCCCCTCTCTTCACGCTGACGGTGATCCAACAGAGATCCTTCTGCGGTTTGAAGCTGTCCTTGGCCGTTGTATAGGGTAGTCCTTTTTAACTTCTTTGACTCGTTTGCATATGGGTACACCGCAAGCCGAGCGTGGATAAACACATGCCGTGCGCAGTGGCTAATGTATACGCGTGCGCATCGACATTTAGGGGGACAGGGAGGGGGGAGGGGGAGGGGGGACGCTTGTAAGTTTTGGGTTGGGGCTAGGAGGAGGGGGGAGGTGTTTATTAGTGTGTATTTTTTTTTTTTTTTTTTGTCACTGTCTCTTTTGGTTTTCTTTTTCTTTCTTTTTTCTTGTATGTTCTTTCCTACAACCTACCTCCTCCTCCCAAATCTCGATCTATCTATCTCTCTTTCTCTCTCCCTCTCTTTCTATCTATCTATCTATCTATCTATCTATCTATCTATCTCCATTCACAAACACACACACTTACCTAACTTCCTACATATACAGATATATACATACACATACAGACGTTTGTATACATCAACACACACACACACACACACACACACACACACACACACACACACACACACACACACACACACACACACATATATATATATATATATATATATATATATATATATATACATATATCACCCTCTATAGATCTATTCATCCATTCCTTTGTGTAGCTGTCGGATTTTCTCCCAGTATATTTCCCCGCCACGAGTCTCTTCCCTTCCCCCCCACACGACAACCATCGTACAGAAAAAAAAACCTAGGCATAGGGGAACCTCCGGGGGGAAAAAATCCTGGTCAAAGAGTTTTTTTTTATTTTCTTTCTTCTGTTCCTTTTTTTTAACATCGACCCTCCCTCTTTCCTTTTCGTTTTCTTTTTTTTGTATGCGTGTGTTTGTATTTCTTCACACCCGTGTTAAGCTGTATAAACGACCTGGTCTCGTATAACACAAAGTTGTCAAACGGGTTTACAACACACACACACACGCGCGCGCGCGTAAGAATGAATTTTCACTACAAATACATATAAACAAATACTGTTTCAAATATATATTTTAAAGCACACAACGCATATATAATCTAAGCACGAGCATAACAAAAACAACAACAACAACAAAACACAAACACATGACACAAAGACTAAATACATAAACATAGCACGGAAACAACACGGTGCACACAGCACAAACACCAAACAGAGATACACAAACAAACAAGAACTTAATGAAACAAACGCCCCCACCGCCCCCCCCCCAAAAAAAAAAAGAAAAAAAAAAAACTTCCCCTTCCCAATAAATAGATAAAGAAATGAAACAGAAAGCAGAAAAGAAGGAAAGACTAACCTGCAGGATAGGCCTTCACCCACTGGTAGTAGTTGGCGGGGGACTGCGTTTTGGACGTGTAGGGCTGCATCACCGCGTCAGGAGCCGTGGCGTAGGCGTGGCTGAGGGCGTCGCTGGGGCTGAGGGGATGGGCGGGCACTGAATTCACGGGCGTGGGCGTCAGGCCTGCCATGGGATTCGTGGCTACGTAGCTGTTCATCTTGACACTGTTGTAGTCACTGTTCACTGGGCTGAGGGAGTCTGGCACTGCTTGGCTCATGGCCTGCGCTACGGCCTCGTCGTTCCTGGTCGTGGTGGCACTGTTCATGGCGCTGTAGTAGTTCTGGCTCTGGTCGTATCCCAGGGGGCTCGCCGCGGCCGTGGCAGTGATCGCGGGGCTCGGGCTCTGCTCGTAGGCGCCCTTGGCCGCCGTCATATTCCCGAGGGCGCAGCTGTATGCACTGGGGTATCGGTAGCCTTGCATGCCGCCATACTGCGCGTAGGCCTGTGTAGGATCCGAATAACAAGGGTATTTAGCACTCTGCATGTACGAATACTGGTCCTGCGAGGGCGCCCCCCAGTTGGCCGCCGGGGAGGGCACGTTGGCGAAATAGGAGCTCATGTCAGCGCGCGGGCGACAGATGATGGCCGTACTGATAGGCCTACTGTCCCAGGCCTACTGCACTTCGCCATTATCACGCTTTGGCGAGCGGAAGGTCACGTGACCCGCGCCGGCCAATCAGCTCGCAGCTTCGCTATTGTCACGTCCTGAGGCCGGTCGCGTGCATAGCCGCTCGGGGAAATGCACCGCTCTGGACCCTCTCTGATTTTCGGCCATTTGAAGCCTCTTGGGTGATTTTTATGGTATTTTGGACATGCCGCTTAGAGGGGACGTTGCCTCATTGATAACACGAGCTGGTGTGAAGGAGAGAATGACCATCAACCCGAAATGGCCCATACTAAACGAAAGATAAATATATCGCAGATTTAATCGTAGGCAACCCTGGCGATTTCGGGGCGAATAAAATGGTACACTGATAATAGGTTTTGATTTTATAATTCAAATGTCATTATTAACGCGTGTATATTGTGATGATAATGACGAATATTAGCAGAGTTTAACCGCACGCTTTGTGCAGCATCATAAACGTGTAAATGAAGTGTTATTTCTATTATTTTCATATTCAGAATTCGATCGTTTAAAAATATAATCGAGTGATATCGATACATAAATATTCCCGTGAGACCAAATCAATGAACATTTCATTAATTCAAATACAAAAGCGAATCCCCATAAAATGAAAAGAGAGCAAAAATATACATATGTAGATTTAGTTTACGATTCGCCGCATAATCGGTTCGTTTAAAAAAAAATACGGTAAGCGAATTTATTATCAAATGTATACATAACTTGATATATACAAAAAGAAAAAAAATATAGCACATGTAAATCAACTCACCTAAAATAATTTTTACTCAGAGATAAATTAAACGACTTTACGATGAAATAAATAAATGTATAAAACAGATTTTCTAAGGATTCCCAAGGCTTATATATAACAGTGAGCTTCGTGATCAGTCGATAAGTAGGGCCAGCTAAAGCCCCCTTTCAACCCCCTTTCCAACTCCCCTTCTTCCCCCTCCCCCCCTTCTCCTCCTCCCCCCCTTCTCCTTCTCCCCCCCCCCTTCTCCTCTTCCTCTCTCTTCTTCTCCCTCTCCTTCCAACTCGCAAACTGAAAGTCTGTACTGGGCTTTGTGTTTTCGTATACTTATACTGTTATTTTTTTCTTTCATTAACTTTTTCTATCGAGGATTTTTCGGTTCTGTCTCTTTCTGTCTTTGTCTGCCTGTCTGTCTGTTTGTCTCTCCCTCTCTCTGTCTCTCTGTCTGATTGCCTCTTTCTCTCATCATTAAATATGATTTTTTTTCTTCTTCAAAGTTTCGTTTCTTTATTTTCGTATGCTATTTTTCCTTTCTCTTTCTTTGTTTCTACATCGTTTTATCTTTTCTCATTTCTATCTTTGTTGGTATTCCTTCTTTATCTATATATTACTCTCTCTCTCTCTCTCTCTCTCTCTCTCTCTCTCTCTCGTTTTTTTCTCTTTCTTTCTCTGTATGTCTATATATCTATCTGTCCGTCTGTCTCTCTCTCTCCCTCTCTCTCCCTTTCTCTCTCTCTCTCTCTCTCTCTCTCTCTCTCTCTCTCTCTCTCTCTCTCTCTCTCTCTCTCTCCTCCCCCTCTCTCTCTTTGGTTCATGGGAGTTTTTGATTTATACCCTTCTCTTGGGATGAAAAATGTGCATGTATATACCCACCTTTAACGTTATTTAGCATAATATTGATTTCTTTTCCGTCGATTAGGCTTATTCCGGTAGGCTGTATGCGAAGAAAACCAATTATAAAAATGAAGATGAAAATTAATAAAAATCTAGATCACTCGGGAGGATAAAGACGACATATGCAAATCCGGTGATGAAATGGTATGGAATAAATTGGAGTAAATGTGATGAAAGAGGGAAGAGAAGGAAAGGAGAAAAGGACGCCCGAATTGTCGGAAATTAAGAACTTACCCCAAAGGCTGGCAGGCTGTCCACCCACCCATTGGGAGGGAGAGGGCAGAGGGGAGGGAAAAAGGGAGAGGGGGGAGGAAAGGGAGGAGGAGGGAGAAGGGTAGGAGGGTGAGAAAAGGGGGAGGAGGGGTGGGAGGGTAGAGGGAGAAGAGGGGGCGGGGAGGTAGGGAGAAGGGTGGGAGGGTAGAGGAAGAAGGGGGAAGGGGGGCGGGCGGAAAACGGGCGGGGGAGGGGAGAGGGGGGGGGAGAAGGAAAGGCCAACCCAACCAAATTTATTCGATGTTTCTGTCTTTCTCTATTCTTTTCTTTTCTTTTCTTTTGGTTCCGTTCTTTCTTTCTTTTTTTCTCTTTCTCTTTTTCTTTTTCCTTTTCTATGACCACATTCTTTCAACACCCTCGTACACATACCGAATTAGAATTATTAGAAAATACGAATGTAAGAACGATAAAAAAAAAAAAAAAAAAAAAACATAGAAAAGCGTGAATGATAGAAATAAGATAAAGTCTGATCAACATCGAAAGAGAGAGAGAGAAGAGAGAGAGAGAGAGAGAGAGAGAGAGAGAGAGAGAGAGAGAGAGAGAGAGAGAGAGAGAGAGAGAGAGAGAGAGAGAGAGAGAGAGAGAGAAAGAGAGAGAGAGAGAGAGAGAGAGAGAGAGAGAGAGAGAGAGAGAGAGAGAGAGAGAGAGAGAGAGAGAGAGAGAGAGAGAGAGAGAGAGAGAGAGAGAGAGAGAGAGAGAGAGAGAGAGAGAGAGAGAGAGAGAGAGAGAGAGAGAGAGAGAGAAAGAGAGATAAAGAGAGAGAGAGAGAAGAGAGAGGAGAGAGAGAGAGAGAGAGAGAGAGAGAGAGAGAGAAGAGAGAGAGAGAGAGAGAGAGAGAGAGAGAGAGAGAGAGAGAGAGAGAGAGAGAGAGAGAGAGAGAGAGAGAGAGAGAGAGAGAGAGAGAGAGAGAGAGAGAGAGAGAGAGAGAGAGAGAGAGAGAGAGAGAGAGAGAGAGAGAGAGAGAGAGAGAGAGAGAGAGAGAGAGAGAGAGAGAGAGAGAGAGAGAGAGAGAGAGAGAGAGAGAGAGAGAGAGAGAGAGAGAGAGAGAGAGAGAGAGAGAGAGAGAGAGAGAGAGAGAGAGAGAGAGAGAGAGAGAGAGAGAGAGAGAGAGAGAGAGAGAGAGAGAGAGAGAGAGAGAGAGAGAGAAAGAGAGAGAGAGAGAGAGAGAGAGAGAGAGAGAGAGAGAGAGAGAGAGAGAGAGAGAGAGAGAGAGAGAGAGAGAGAGAGAGAGAGAGAGAGAGACAGAGAGAGAGAGGGGGGGGGGGGGCTCCAAATCGAATGAATATTTATCAAAGAAATAAAATATACTAAAAGAGGGATTTTTTCTTCATCCCCTCCTCCCCCTCCCTTCCCTCCTGTTTCCCCATCTCTTTTCCTCTTTCCCATTCACTCCTCCCCTCCCCTTTTCCGCTCTTCCACCTACCCACTCAGTTCCCCCTCCTCCTCTTCCCCCACCCTTCTCCCTCCCCCTTACTTTCCCCACCCTTCCCCTACTTCCTCAGCCTAATCCTCTCCCTCCTCCCTCCTCCCCCCATCACCCCCTCTCCCTCCTCCCTCCTTCCCCATCATCCCCTCTCCCTCCTCCCTCCTCCCCCATCACCCCCTCTTCTTCCTCCCCCCTCCCCCATCACCCCCTCTCCCTCCTCCCTCCTTCCCCATCACCCCCTCTTCCTCCTCCCTCCTCCCCCATCACCCCCTCTCCCTCCTCCCTCTTTCCCCATCATCCCCTCTCTCCTCCTCCCTCCCTCCCCATCACCCCCTCTCCCTCCTCCCTCCTTGCCCATCACCCCCTCTCCCTCCTCCCTCCTCCCCCATCACCCCCTCTCCCTCCTCCCTCCTCCCCCATCACCCCCTCTCCCTCCTCCCTCCTTCCCCATCACCCCCTCTCCCTCCTCCCTCCTTCCCCCTCATCCCCTCTCTCTCCTCCCTCCCTCCCCATCACCCCCTCTCCCTCCTCCCTCCCTCCCCCATCACCCCCTCTTCTTCCTCCCCCCTCCCCCATCACCCCCTCTCCCCCAATTCCAAACTTTCCCCAAACGGCTCATATGGCAAGAGTTCCTAGTTAATAACCCTAAAGTTTGACGTGTCCACAGACGGACGAATGGGGTAGGGGGGGGGGGGGGGTGTAGGATGAGGGGGAGGGGTTGGGGGTGGAGGGGGGGTCGCCGGTGGACTCTTTAAATACTCAGCTGCAGAAACTCCCTGTGAAATTGTAGGTTTGCCACATTGGGGGGAGAGGTGTGGTGGTTGAAGGGGGGAGAGGGAGGAGAGGAAAGGGAAGAGGGAGAGTTGGGGGAGGTTGGGGTGGATTGTAGGAGGGGTGGGGGGAGAGAGGAGGGGAAGGGGAAGAGGGAGAGTTGGGGGAGGTTGGGGTGGGTTGTAGAAGGGGAGGGGGGGAGAGAGGAGGGGAAGGGGAAGAGGGAGAGTTGGGGGAGGTTGGGGTGGGTTGTAGAAGGGGAGGGGGGGAGAGAGGAGGGGAAGGGGAAGAGGGAGAGTTGGGGGAGGTTGGGGTGGGTTGTAGAAGGGGAGGGGGGGAGAGAGGAGGGGAAGGGGAAGAGGGAGAGTTGGGGAAGGTTTGGGTTGGGTTGTAGGAGGGGAAGAGGGGGCGAGGAGGGGAAGGGGAAAGAAGGAGTGTTGGGGAAGTGTAGGAAGGTGGTGGGACGTAGTAGAGGTGGGGTAAGTGTGGTGGGGGAGGAGTTGGGTAAGAGAGTGGGGAAGGTGGGTGGTGGGATGTGATGATGGTGGGGAGGGAGGGGGTAAGTGGAAGGGGAGGAGTAGAGGAAGGTAAAAATGGTGGTTTGTGTGGGAGGCTAGAGTAAAGGAAGGAGGAGGAGGAGGAGGAGGAGGAGGAGGAGGAGGAGGAGGAGGGAGAGGCGGGGGTGGTGGTGGTGTAAGTGTATATATCAGGTTGGGGTGATAATGGTAGGGGGAGGGGTTTAGTGGCAGGGGAGGGGGGAGGGATGCGGGCAATGATGGAAGAGGAAAGAGTAGAAGAAAATGAAGAGGAAAAGGA